GGACAAGCCAGGCCTCTGCCAGTAGATGATCTGTTCCAGATGTGTGGCCTGGAGAATGGGAGGGAGGGGGAGAAGCTTGCTTGCGCAGTCCAAGAAAATCAATCTCCTTCTTGCTCAGTGAAAGCACAGAACTTTGGGAGATGAAGATGGGCTGATATCTTGCTGGGTGGCTTGGGGTCACACATGGAAGGGAAAGGGCAGGGAGCTGACAGAAAACACCCTTGGATAGAGCTGCTGTGCCTGGTTTCAAGAGGCAGCATTCTATTTTGCTTGGTTCTCTCTTGGATTTGGTCCAAAACCTGCATGATGTGACACAGCCTCATCCTACGTTACTCCTTTCACATTTAGAGAGGCCCAAGCTGGGAAAACAGCACTAAGCTGGGATGGAGCTAAGAGCAAGTATGCTAGAGTCTAAAGAACTTAATCTAACTCTGTGAGCTGAGCACTGGAACTCTGTATCTGCAGTAGGTCTGCTCGGGAGTCTGTGGCTTCCATTCAGTTAAATGATCCTATTGGGATGGTTTAGAGGCAACTGCAATTAAGGCTTCACAGTAAAGTGCTCTAGTTTAAGACTGTGAAGTATGATACTCTTGATGGTAAGGAGCTGGTTAAACTAAATTAGAGGCTAAGTCCCACTGAAGCAAGGAGCAACATTTGAAACAAATGCTCTGAGCTATGCACTCTGGAACAAAATGACTGAAAACATTTACCAGTAAAAGATTTTAACTTGCTCTTGCCTGGAAACTCTTTTTGGGGAAAGCGTTCAATCCTGTATGGTTTCCTGTCCTGCAGGTACTCAGAATTAGATTTCCTTGGATCTTTGGGACATGCAATAGAGGGGATCTCTATGGCTCCTGCTACATGGGAATGCACCTAGCTATAGCCAAGAAGGCATTATTTTAAATCCTGAAGAAGCTGCTATTCATAACTAGCATCTGTAACATGAAAACTGGTTTAGAAAAGTATCTTTCTTATTAGAATAATAATAAGTCTCCTCATTGCTTTTGATGAGTGAGGAAGCCAAAGGTGAAAGTAAGTAATGCTCAGGGGTGATATCCAATCTTGGATCCTTTTAGACAATCTGTGTGTGGTCTACGTAGAAACACAGAATTGGAAGCAACCATATAGACCATATAGTCTGACCCCCTGTTCATTACAGGAACCACAGTTCAAGTAATCATACCACTGGTTCTCCAGCATCTGCTTGAACTCATCTGACCAAAGGAATCTTACCTTCTTCCTCAGTCTCTGGTGCCCCTGTGGAATTGCTCTTGCACCATGTGTTGTTGTCAGCTGAGAAGAAGTCTCTCTCTCTCTCTCCCCCCACCCCAGAACTGGTTTTCCATGGAGTGTTATTAATCATTCTTACAAATATGCGATATCTGAAAATGCCCCTTTAATTTAAGGCCTTCTCTAGAGTGAGCAGAACTCCCTGAAACAGGGCCTTCCTGGGCTTATTTTCCATGGATGCCATACTAACATGAGTAACTTGTGGCTTTAAGTGTGATTGAATATTTATAGAAACAAAGGAAGGAGAAAATGCTAATTTCAAAATCAATCTTGTTTATTGCAGTATAATTCTGGAGAAGGAGAGTGGAAAGTTTGCTGAGTCTGCTGTGATGGGAGATCATCATGTCTCTCCCCCTCAATTTTTTGTGGGACAGCATGGCATTAAAAGTGGCAATGAGAATACTCTGCCCACTGGTATCAGAGTCTAGGTCTGATACACACTTTGGAGAACCTGGCAGTGGTTTTTCTCCTGCAGATACGCAGCATCAAGTAGTAACAGAGCTTGATGATTGGTGGCTTGTTGTCAGGGTCAACAGTAAGAACCATCTAAGGAAAGGCTCATGAAGGTGGCAAATGGCCCTCTAAGCAGGGGATATGTCTGGGTTACAGATTTCATGGTTGAGCCAGACCTGCAAAGGAGTTTACCTATTTTATCAGGTCACTGGCCTAGCTCTTGAAACAGATATAACATGATTTGGGTTAATCCTGATATCCACTTAAGGGTAGAGGAATGCCCTGAGGGGTGGAGATGTTGTTCAAACTATTGGAATGTTATCTTGACGTGCAGCCTTGTTGTATCAAAATGGGAAGGTCATGTGTTTTGCTGGAGTGGACTAATCACAGCTGGGCTAAAGGTATATTAATTCAAGATTTGGTGTGAAAAATCCATTGAAATAGTCAGAGGAGAGCTGAAAAACTGTCATTGATTCTTGACCAAATTATCAACTTATGAAGATTGTTCATTCTCCCAATATGGAATAAAGGTTTGGAAATTATGGTAGTTGAAGCCCAGCCTATTTGGAAAGAACCATGATGAAATAAGTGCTTCCTATATATCCAATGTTAATTCAATTAGAAATTAATAGCCATTATTTCTGTATGTAATGTTTTATAGTGCAAGTGAATAAAGCTTTGAACCTGCATATCAAATGAAGTGTTCTTGAGTCAAGGTCTGCTTGGCTATCTCTGGAAGTATGATTTTAAAAATCCATGTGCTTTTACATTAGTGAGCAACTGAAGACATGGCTTGTATATAGAAACTCCTATGTTGAATTCCAAATATCTATTTAAAGGAGCTCTGCCAAAAGGTATAAGGAAAATCTTCTATTGTGGAAATCCTAGAGAAGTTCCTAGTTGGCTCAGATTTTGCCAGGCTGTAGAAACCGATAGAGTGACCCAGGAACAGGCTAGTTCATATGTTAAAGTTGCCCCAAGGAAAAATACTACTGGGATGGTATAGGCCAAGATATGTTACTTCAGTTATGAAACACAGAACTAAGATTTCCATTATTTATATCTGTTTTTGCTCACCACCACCACCACCGCCACCACCACCAATGTTTGTTAGTTTCACTATGGGCAATTCTGCCTTTTAAACCATGGGAAATGGCATAAGCATTACAGGAGTAAAATGTAATTGACTGATGCTATCCTCATGGTAAACTTTATTACTTGGAAATAAGGACCATTTTGTTTGTAGAAAAGGAAAAAAACAGTTAAATAGCCCTTAACTCTAAAAAAGTTTTTAAAAAATAAGTGGAAGGAGAATGATGAGCTGTGCCAGCCTGAAAGCCCTGGCAGGTTTATGCTGGAGATGATATTCTGGTTGGGCCTCTTTGCCAGCCCTCCCCCCCTCATCTATATTCTCTGCCTGTGGGGCTCTGGACTTGACTTCATGATCCTGACCTAAGTTTCTGACATCTACATGCCAATGGCAAGGCCTGTTTTGCAAATATTCGGCCCACAAACTAAGGATGCTGGCAAAGCTGATCAAGATAGCAAAATATTTTGCTGTTCTGAAATTGCTCAGTAAGTCATTATACTAGTGAGCATTTCATTGCACCGTTATGCGCTTATCCAAGAATACCCAAACAGCTGCCATATAGCATCTTTCTCTCTCCCTCCACAAGCTGTGTGGCTATGTTAGATGTGTAGAGTGTCCTTCTCCTCCCTCACTCCCCCGTCCTGCCCAGGACCTAGTCCTTTTTCTTGCTGTTAATGTTTAAGTTTGAAGCACATTTTTGCAGCTTTTCTTTGTGGCATCTTTTAATTCTTGCTAACGCATCAGTCAGTTGAGCGGTGCAGATGTTAATGCTGCCTTAGGGCTGTCTGTCCTCTGTCTGGTTTCGCACAGGGAGAGGGGCAGGGTCTGCTTCCAACAGCTTGGCGTTCCCTGCTCTTCCCTCTGCCCCGACTGCCCATTTGGAGCTTTCTCTTGGATTTCACAACCGAGCCAACTGAGTGAATAAGAAATTGCCAAGTTGAGGCACCCTGGGCCTTGTAAAGCTGCGGTGCGGTGAACGGCACTCTGTTGCTGGCAGGCAGGATGACCTGAGATGGCCGTCCCGAGGTTACAGAGGTTCTGGTGACTCTGAATGGGTGTGGGAGCCAGGAAGGAGATGTGAGCCTCATTGAAGCAAAGCCCCCGGGAGCAGGGCTTGCTCCTGAATCTCATTTTTCACATGTCTCCTGCACTCTCACTACTAGCCCCGAAAGAGGAAAGGAGGTGCTTCCTGTTATTCTGATTCAAATCTCAAGCTGGTCACAGGAGGGAAGCAGACTGCCTATGCTTCAGAGTGGCAGGCTGTACAAGATGGATGGCCACGCTCTCCTCTTGAGGCTACTTTTGCTGGTTTCTACAGGTAAGTGGTTCTCCAGGGTGGTTAGGTGCGGCACAGGATGCTTGGGGCAGCGTCTCACTGGACAGCTTGTAGTGGCTTTGGTTCTCTGGGCTGGCAAGGAGAGTGAGGGTCCTCATCCGGGCAGCCTGTCTTGGACAGGTTGAGGGGTGACATTTTAGGGAATGCAGACAGGACAGTTGGACTTCTGAATCTGATGCTCAGGTCGTTCTATGACCCTGCTTCTTACCTGAATGGGACCCTTATCCTAGGTCTGGCCCTGCCTTCTGCTCTCTGCATGTGCCCCACCCAATCTGTTTACTTATTCCTCCGTTATTTTCCCTGATCCCACATTACCTGTATTTTTTTTTCTGCCTCAAAATAGCAACGAGGGTATTTTGGGGATGTGACATCCTAAGGATTGAGATGCCCTCTTGTCCCTCCCTCCAGTTTTGCTTATACTCTTCTATCCCTCCACAGGAAGAATGATTCCCCTTGATAGACCAAGCTGCTCTCTATCCAAGCTGTGTTAAGCCTTTGGCAGAATTTGCCAAGCGACTTGCATTCTGATCCTGGCTGAAGTGGGGATGAGCCGAATGTCTTATGAAATACTTGTGGCTCTTTTCTTTTCTAGTTCAGGCTTGCAATGATTTCAGAAGAGAAATGAAGGGAAGTGGTAGCTTGCTTTAGTGTAGCCTCCCACTCTTTAAATGTAGGGAGGCATTTCTTTTTAGTTTCCTGCTGAGAAGTAGTTTGGCATTGCAAGGGCAATGCCCTTTCTTACCATCATAGGGTAAAGGGGCGAAGAACCTTCATTGCTGGCCAGGTCCATTTACTGTTTCTCCCAGTCCTTCCTGGAGATCAACCCATGGGATCCAAACTATGGTTTGTCAAAAGTAGAGATCAGGTGCATTTTGCTTATAGAACAAATACGTTCAGAATGGCACAAGCAAGTCATCCAAATGATACCCTTCAAGGAGAATGGCTTTGCTCCCAAACAAATGAGAAAATTTCTTCATAGCTTCCAAAGCTGACAATTGCTATGCCCTGCTGTGAGTAGAATGCCCTCACTGAGAAAGAGCAAATAAATACAATTTTGTAGATTAATGTGCCACCCAACATCCTGCTACTCATTATAGCCATTCCTCAAGCCCAAGAGGAAGTGTAAAAGTTCCAGTGGGCAAAATCAGTGGGTTAATTAATATAGAACAAAGAAAACTATTTTGGTCCACTGACAAAATTCCCAAACACAGTCAGGTACATCTTTATTAGGACCAATGAACATGTCCAAGGTCAGAGGTGAAGTATTTGAAATGTATATTAAGGACAATGTGGTCAGAGGCTTAAAAAAGAGTGGAGAAGGAGGTATATATCATACGGAATGCAGATTACACTTTATCCTTTTGGGAAAAAAACACATAATTTTTGAAAATCTACTTAGTATTGTATAATATATTTAAATCTGCACCTCCTCCTCTACTCTACCTTATGATTCTAACAATGCATGCTTCAAAACATCAATATTAATGGTGCCTTTTGACCCACTTCCCTTTTCACTCTTTTTGTGGTATCATCCTGGTTGATTAAGAGAACTGGAGATCTTGGAAAATTGGATATACAGTAATTCTGTGTATGTTAGGCTATTTGTAATGAAGACATTGACTGCAGGTTTGGGGCTAAAGTCATATAATGACATCCAACAGCACAATGCAAATTAAGGAAGAGGATATCTGAAATAGAGAGGAGGGGAGAGAGGATGCTTAACCCTTTCTCTAGGGGTGAGGATTCTGCCCCTGATTACCATCCCCAACCCAAGATTTCAAACTTGTTTGTGAGTTTGCACTTATCCTGTTTTGAACTCAAATAGGATTTTCTGCTCCCATAATGGTTCCAGAGAGTCTGGACTGCTCCTTAACTCTGAACTTCTCATAGCTAGAATACAGTGGAACCTCAGGTTACGAACTTAATTCGTTCCGTGACTCTGGTTGCACCCCGAATTGGTTGCAACCCGAAGGAAATTTCCCCATAAGGTTCAATGTAATTACCGT